CTAACACAAAGTCCGTGTCACCTGTGCTCTTTGTTTCAAAGCAGCTTAGGTGGGCTTCTCCTTTCTGTGTTTTAGAAGCTTCCCGTCCCAGCCTCTCTGGATGTGCCTGTGGTCTGCTGTAGCATGCATATCCCAAACTGCAATTCCCCGTCATTCCTGGAGAAACCCTTTGGAGAGGCATCTCTCTGTTGTTGTGGCCATCGCGGGCCCGTTTCCTGATGCATGGAACATCACTACACCAACACCACGGGTTGCAGCAAAAAGAGTTTTAATCCTCAGGCTGCTGTACAAGGAGACAGCGTGAGGCAAGCAGGCTGCAGGGATCCTGTGGCCGTCCGGGGGTCTCCCCATTGCTTCTGGTTCCCCCAGCCCATTTCTTTGGAATCCTGCTGACTCTGCTGTTTCATCCCTCCAGCCCATGGCTAGAGTCACCCCAAAAGTAGTAGCAGGCAAGTTCCAGCAAGGGACGGCCCCAAACCGTCCTGAGGCGGAGCTGGTTGGTCCCAAAGAAAAGCAGCAGCAAATGCCAGGGTGATAAGCCCAAAGCATTTGTTCGGGGAACTTATGTACAGAGGGAGGAAGCACATCCTCAGGCTGACAGCAAGAGATGGAGAGGTTCCACCTAGGAAGCCTGCACCCAGGGGCTAGAGTGGAGAGTTTTACAGGAGGATTTAATTCGTGTGGCTCTCGTTTCCACATATTTAGCAACATGTTTGATCTTTCAGTGTCTCAGGCAACAACCTAGTTCATCAGTAACAGAATACTCAAGGTCCTGGCCGAGCTTCAAGCCTGCAGGGAAAATATGCAGTGGCCCAGGCTCTGTGCTTCTCAGGCAGGACACAGAGAGAAAGCAAGGGTTCTGGGGAACCTTCCAGTAGAAGAGGAAACTGGCCAGACATGGGCCCTTCCCAGGAAGTTACTAGGGGTCTTACTGCAGCAAAGTAAGGGAGTAAAGCCAGAAGGGGGAGGATGCAGATTCCAGGAAACAGCTGTTAACAGAAAAGCCAAACTCTGAAGAAGACATTTTTTCCTTCTTCTTCTTCTTTTTTTTTTGAGACAGAGTTTTGCTCGTTGCCCAGACTGGAGTGCAATGGTGCGATCTCAGCTCACTGCAACCTCCGCCTCCCAGATTCAAGTGATTCTCCTGCCTCAGCCTCCTGAGTAGCTGGGATTATAGGCGTGTGCCACCATGCCCGGCTAATTTTTGTGTTTTTAGTAAGAGATGGTTTCACCGTGTTGGTCAGGCTGATCTCAAACCCCTGACCTCGTGATCTGCCTGCCTCGGCCTCCCAAAGTGCTGGGATTACAGGCATGAGCCACCGCGCCCAGCCTAATTTTTGTAGTTTTAGTAGAGATGGGGTTTCACCATGTTGTCCAGGCTGGTCTGAAACTCCTGACCTCATGATCCACCCGCCTCAGCCTCCCAAAGTGCTGGAATTACAGGTGTGAGCCACCGTGCCCGGGCTTTTCTTTTTTTAAAGAGGGCTTCATT